GGGGGTGGGGGGGGAGGGGAAGAAAGGGGAGGATTGGATTACTGCCAACGACATATTCGTGTTTATAGATAGATTTTTACCCAGAATGCAAATGGAAAAAAACCGTGAGTGAAACGGTGACTGGTACTGACTAGTATATATTCCATTGAGGGAAACTAAGTTTCATATCTTTCTATAGAAACATCTTATAGAAAGATCCACATATATATGAAAAAAAACACTGAATGCTCTCTGGTATTGTTCAGGGGGCCGGACCAAATGAGGAGGCGGGCCAGATCCGGCCTGCAGGCTGCAGCTTGGGGACCCCCGCTCCAGATCAAACTGCTAATATTTAACAGGTTTAGACAGTAAAGTTACTGCATTTAACCTCCATAATCTACCATCAGCAGCAGCTCCATTCTGACTGAAGTGCTGCTGAATCTTCTGGTTAAAGTTTCTCACCATGAGTAAAGGATGGTGCCGACCACTGATGTCAGCTCACTGTTCTCCTGTTTCTGCTTGGCGAGCCCAAAGTCAGCTTCAAGCAGAAGGAAACATAAAGGTTTAACCCTCCGAACAAGAGAGGACAGGAAGGAGGAAGCGGCGCCTGCTCAGACTCACTGATGGTGACTTTATTGTTCTCCCCCAGCATGATGTTACTGGGTGAAAGGTCACGGTGAACTATCCTCTTCTCCTGGTGCAGGTACCTCAAGGCCAGGCACATCTGAGAGAAGGTTAAAAAATGTAATCTGAGATTAGGATAATTCTGTAATTTTATTATTTTAATTTTCTTCCACCTGTAACTTCTCATTCCCAAATTTTGCTTTTTCCTATTAACATCATTTATTCCCTGTTGGTCTCCTTGAACTGAGTTTTCTTCTACCTTACTCTGCTCTACCTAAGCAGTGAAGCTTTTCAGATCTTCATGGATGTGTTTCTGATTATAAAAAGCTAAACTGAAAAGTTTTACCTGGATGAAAATGTTCCAGATTCTGTCTTCAGTGAATTTTTGTTGCTTGTCCCTCAGAGAGTTGAAATGTTCAGCCAGTGGCACGCCTTCGATCAGCTCCATTACAATGTAAAGCTTGTCGTCTATAATCAGAGAGCATGTCTGGCTTTTTTTAACGGTTTGAATGAAAACAGTCCCCAATGTGTTGGAATGACAGGTACTGTAATCACCTTCCAAAAATGTTTTGTAATATTTAACTATGTTTGGGTGTGTCATCTGGAAAAAGAGAAGAAATAAATTGTTATCTACACATATTGAATAAATATATGTAGAAATGTTGAGCAGGATGCGAGCTGTGCCTGTTCTCTGATGATTGTAAGCTCAGAGATTATCTTTTCCACATTGCTGTCTCTGGACTTCTTGTCTTTGCCAAACACCGGGTTGTGCAGGTTCACCTCCTTCAGAGCCAGGAAGTTCTGACCGGTCTGCTTCTGGACCTGCCAGTAAGAGCGAATGAGCTGAAATCTAATATAAACAGAACATTATGTTATTTTTCTAAATGTTTGTTTTACTTTAAAGACACTTCCAAACGCCCCAGAGCCCAGGTGGTCCAATATGGAGTAGCCACCGATTACTCTGAGCGGCGGTCGGTTCTGGTTCAGGGACTCAATATTCTCTCTCAGACAACTCAGTTCCTCTTCCTGCATTAAAATAAAAAATAAAAATACATTTGTTATTTTACCAGGTTTGAAAAACGAATGAGAAAAGTTATATTTTACGATCCCATTCCAGTCCAACAAACAAACATTTCTTTGCTCTTACAGTGTAGAGAGACACTTTGGTTTGTAGCTCCTCATAAGCTGTGAGGTCTCTGACATAATGTCCAACATCAATAAACGACTCAAAGAGGTCTGTGGGAAAGAGCCTGAGAGGGATAAAGGGTACAGCTGGGGTCATCCATCTCTGGTAAATATCAAATTAAAGAAAAGATTTTAAGATTTTAAGAAGGTTTTCCCATGTAGAGGATAAGTGAAGAGAAACAGCAGCACAAAGGGGAAAATATACAAAGAAATAAATTCAAACTTGCATTGTAGAAGAATACTAATAAAACATACTAATAAAACATGCTAATAAAACATGCTCCAATCAGAGCAGTTGCCTGCTCTGATTGGAGCAAAATAAATAAATAAAGAAATCATGAGGAATTAAAGTTTTAGGTTTTAAACCTAAAAGTAAAGTTCACCAGAAACAGAAAATAACATTTGAAACACAGAAACCAAAATGCAAAATGAAAGCCTGAAAACAAAACTTGACCACGAAGGTCACAGAGGCATTACCTTTTAAAAATAAACCTGTTTCTTTCAGCGCTGAAGAGAAATCGCAGCGCTCGGAAAGCGTAACACTGCCAAAACAAAATATTAACATTTAATTTACTGAACCACAACAAACCTGCAGCTGCAATGCTCCTTACTTTGATATGAAGCTCATACCTGTAAAGACGTGACCTTCGGTCCAGAGCTTTTTAGCAAAATTAGGTTTGCAATTATGTAGATACCGTTTTCCTAATAAGAGAAAAGTGCAGTTTATTGATTGAGGCAAAGCTTAAATTAATATTTTGTGCTATTTAAGAAAGAGCTGTTTACTTGTACGATGTGGTGAGCAGACGTGTCGTCCAGACTCAGCTCAGTCAGGGCTGTACAGCACGCTGAGACAAGAAGCAAAAACAAACCCAAACTGTTCAATAAAACTCAGACAGCGACATTTACAACTCTTCATTACAGTCACAGGACATACTGGGAGCATCTTTGAACACAAATCACGTTTTTAGACATTCAACAGAAAATGTAGAACGGTTCTGTAAAACTGTTGATCCAGTCTAAACGTCTCAGGAAATATCTGTTTACATTCTCAGCCTCTGATAAGACTTCTCTATCAGGGAGGATTATCCTTACAGTGAGCAACAGTAAACATTTTACATGATTTTCACATTATTTTCTGCTCACTGCTGTCCTTGGTGAATTTTAACACGACAGTCTAGTGTATTTTCTGTGCAGTGTGGACGCTGACCGGACTGCAGAGCCACAGCGTTCTGCAGCTCCTCATGCGGTCCAAACTCCTCTGGGGCGCTGCTGGGAGCGGGAAGCATCTCCATGCTGGAGCGGTCAGAGGCGTGCTGCCTGTCATTAAGAGATTTATCTTACCACCGAGACAAAAACAAACAAACTTAATTACACTATTTAGGCATCAGCTTTAACAAATAGACAATCAGTAACATGTTTTCCAATTCTAGCAGCCATTTTAAGTTGTAGTCCAATATATTCCAGTGTTTTACGTTTGGTATTATTGGTAATCTTTCTAGTTTTTGTGTATCACTTTATCAATTATTTAAAAAGTTTTTGAAGGAAATCAGCTTTTATTGCAGTAGCATAATCTTGGACTGAATATTCTGGAAAATATCACCTTTAATTTGATTAATTAGACTAAAAAAGCTAAAACAGTTTTAACATGTCTTAAGTATATTTAAGTATATTTATTGATCTTTACAGGTTGGGAAAGTGACCTGTTGTCATGATGTGTGAGTTTGAGGAAGGAATAAAATGCAGGCAGGAGCTGGGAGCAAGATTTAATAAAATAAAAAAACTTACAAAGGAGCACAGGGAGCCAGAGTAGAGCAAAAACCATGAAGTCAAGAAAAATGCCACAGGGAAGAATTAGGGGAAAATAACCAGAGGGACTAGTGATACTGTGAGGATGAATGCTGGAACAAAAACCTGAGCTTATGAGCTAACAGGTTGCAGGTGTGAGGGGAGAGAGAGAAAAAAATGACACAGGGGGCGAGGGAGAGGACACAAGGTCAAGGAAATTAATCTAAAACTAAAGAATAACATAATTAAACTAGAGTAACAAGGAATAACTAGACACAAGAAATAAATATAATACATGTGAATCACTGAGTCTAACGAAATCAAACAAAGAGACAAAGGAACACAGAATAACCAAACATTCAAAACAACTCAAAACACAACACCTATTGTTGTTCCTTGAACAGGTTAGGATAGGTTTACAATTTTTACAAACTTTGTTTTGCACAAAATCATTTTTAGATAATAAGATTTCAGTTCTGCTCAGTTCTGCCTATTTTGAGATTGTTTCATTATAAGCTGTTTTAGGGCCTCCTGTCACTTTAAATCCAAATAAGCTACTGGCCACGTCTCCCAGCTTAACGTTTACACTCGCACGTGAAAATGGCTGCAAACAGATGTGCAACTGTACAACCGTACATATTTGAAAAATAGAAGTGGAGCCTCCTGCACAACCAACAAGAATGCAGAAAGTGGTTCCTGGATGGAAAGTTAACAACAAAACACTTGACTTTTCCAGAAGCCATTGTACAACACATGCAGCAGTAAAACCAGCTGACCAAACATGCTGGAACTTTTCTTGGGTTGCTAGGTAATGGTGCAGCACCTGCTCATTTGTGATGTTACATCCCAAAGGTTTTTGACATGGCTTATTCTCCACAGTCAAAAAAACCTTGGCTTAGAGACAAAAAATGGCTGGGTGTTTTCTTTTTAGCACTTGGGCTGTTTTTGGAAGCTATAAAAACCCAAATGGAAGTACAAAAACATGCAAAATGTGAATTTTGTCTAATATTTCCCTTTTAAACTTGATCATATCTAAAATCAGGGTAATAATTAAATTTAAGATACTGTGAAAAACGAGACTAGACAAGGACTTCTGTTTGTCTGCCCTTGCACAGTGAGAAAGTTGGTAAAATTGAAGTACTGACAAACTCATGAGCTCACTGCCATAAAACAGCAGCAAAGAGTGAGATCACTGAATCTCCATGGTTTCCATGGCATGTACATCTGGTCGTGGCCGTGACGGCATTAAAATGCTTTTTACATTGTTCTACCACAGCCATAAACATGTGGAGTTTGCTAAATACTTCTGGGACTTTAATTGGAATACTGAGGGTTGGTTAGACCAAACCACACTTCAAGCAACAGACATTCCAGGATAAAACAGAATAGAAAATAGATCTTAAATGTCCTTCATTGACCCACAGTGGGGAAATTCAGACGTCACAGCAGCAAGTTAAGGTAAGAGGGGGCATGAAAACTCACACAAATTTAAAAAATAAAAAAACAGAATAAGGTGCAAAACAGTAAGGATAAATTTAGGACACAAGAAAATGGTGTGCAGTTATTAAAGAGGACCTATTATCCAAAATTCACATTTTAAATGTTTTTGGGCTTCCATTTGGACCGTGACTGCTTCTGTAAACAACTCAAGCTCTTAACAAAAACACACAGTCGTTTTTTTGGGAATAAGTTAATGATTTTGGTGTCTGGAAAATGACCTGTTTCAAAAACCTCCTGTTAATTGTTAAGGAAGAATATCTTTGAATTAGTTAATTTTGGCTCTCTTCCTCTTGGATCCCAGGTCCTCTTGGCGGGCCGCGTGTAGTCACTCAGAAGAAAACAGCAATGCGTGTTGATGTCACAGAATTACAGAGTTTAATCCAATAGAAGACAACGTATGAACTTAGACAGAAACTGCAGAACAACGGAGACATGCATTCATTTACCTGACAGACTTGGAAAAAGAAGGAAAGAAAGAAAAGCAAAGACGTGCAAAGACGTCTTTGGAGAATTGCAAGAGCAAATCTAATTTGTTACTCCTGTGTAGAAAGTTTTATAGTGAAGGCGTATTCTTATCTTTAATTTATTCAAATAAGGCGTATCTTTGCTCATCCAACCAGGAGCTATCTCTGACACTTTGTCTGAAGCCAGAAACCCCTGCTGTTTTACGGCCTTTCACAGATGAGTGTGAAAAGCTACAACTTCTACTGTATTGTTTTCCCACACAGACAAAAGGCAGTTCAAACGATCCTAGCAAACCATCTGCTGTAACTACAAGTAACATAAAGGTCAATAGGCCAGAATACATTACTGATTTTAAAACCACAATTTAGGCCATTTGAATCAAGACATGTTAAGTTTTAAAACTAGCTTATTTTAAATTTATTTTCTCAACATAAGTCACTTTCCAAGGGCGCTGTGCCTTTCCCAAGTAACCCCATTGAAGCCCAGCCCGTCACCTAGCAACCCACGCTGAGCTCCAGCACATTTGGTCAACTGGTTTTACAGCTGTGTGTGCTGTAAAATGGCTGCTAGAAAAGACAATAACTTGCTGTGTTCTTGTTGGTTCTTGTTGGCTGTGCAGGAGGCTCTACTCCTGCTTTTCAAAGATGTACGGTGGTATAACACCCACACATTTGTTGGCAGCCATTTTCACATGTGAGGGCAAATGTTAAGTTGGGGGCCGTGGCCAGCAGCAGTTTAATTAGATTTAAAGTGACAAGAACTGTGTAAAAGATATGCATGTGCATGAGAAACAACAACAGAATATTTACACAAAGTTAAGAAGTATTGTTTTCTTGTCAGTAGTAAGACCCACAAGGGGTGTTTGTGTTTAATTCTTCTAGATTTAATACAGACATTATGCTGTTTTTCTTCATGAAAGAAAAACATCAGAATAAGCATGCTACTTCTTGACATTTTCTCAGATACTACTTACAGTAGTTTTTTTTTTTGGATATTTAAAATGTCTTCCAGTTGTTAATGATTATTAGAATCTATAGCTTATTGGTCTTTGAGAATGTGTTCTTGTATGATTATGCCATTAGCATTAAATTACTTGAAAATTATCTTAAAACAGCACAATATTATTGCATATCATTTTAACTTTCATGACAATCTACCGTCCAGCAGAAGTGTTTGGATCTGTTTGGAGTTTGTTTAATTCTTCTAGATTTAATGTCGACCATTTTGAGTGTACTGTGCTTCATGAAAGAAAAACAGCACAGAGTAAGCACAATACGTGTTGATATTCCTTACTGTAGTTTTTCTGCTGCAAACCAAAATGTAAACAAACATTTCTGTGCTTCCAACAATAACCTTTCGCTGCAGTTGTCCAAACTTAAGCATGAAAGATCACAGTAAAATCCAGCTGACAAACTTGTAAGACTTACACGCTGAGCAGACGGAGGAGCTGCTGCACGGCCCCCCAGCTCCGGATCTCAGCCCTGGAGTCTGGATCCTCACACAGCTGGACCAGGACCCAGGTGACGCTCCACAGCAGCTTCAGGTTCCTGCTGTGCAGGAGGCTCAGCAGCACCGGTACTCCCTCCAGCTCCTTCAGCTGGACCCTCACATGTTGCACTGAAGACAGGAGCCTCAGCAGCTCAGCACTCATTCTGCAGGAAACACAAGGCTTCATCAGGTCATGAGGCTGTTAGAGCTTTTATTTTGAAATGTTTTACCACACAGGAAGTGCATCACTGAGAAATTACTTAAATTTCCAACCTCTTTGAGAGCAGGTCATATTCCTGCAGTATTACAAGAAGGCTATCCACAATTTGCAGTTCTCCGATTTCTGTTCTACATTCAGAGCTGCAGAAAAACAAGAGATTAGAATATTTATGTTTGAAATATCTGTTTCTATTTGAACCATTGTTGTGAAAAGTTAAAACTGTTTGGGACTCTTTATATCACAAAATTTACTTGCTAAACAAATGCAAAAAGGTTTGATTATGATTGTTTATTTTCTTTTATGAGACTCAGCTGAAATTCCTTTGATGTTTTAGAAAAATATACAGAAATTATTCTGCTCTTTTGATTTTGATCTTTTGATCTTGTATCTATAAAAAGTGAAGGTATGATTAGGCCTGTTGCAATAAATCAATAAATCACATGAACATTAAAACTAACTCAATCATTTATATTTCCATGATTTATCATTTTTCTCTTTCTACCAAAATATGGACAACAAAAGCCTTCAGTCTGTTTGCTTTGGTCTCAACTATCCCCTTTCATGAAGGATCATTTTGTTTACAGAGACTTCATTATTCATTTTATTTGATGTTTTTATTGTTATGTTTCTTTATTTTGGAAAATATCTTCCAGGTCCAGTATTAAATGTTCATTAGAATCTCAGGTTTATTGATCTTTGAGAATGTGGCCTTGCATTATTATCTCATTATCTTTATAATATCTTAAAACAACAATATTATCATTCATCACAATGAACGATAATATTTGTCATTGTGACAAGCCTAGCTATAATAAACTAATGTTTTACATCTACAATTTGTGTTTTTTCCATTGACAAGAATTTAAATATTGTTTATGCAAAACAGATATCCAGTACAAGTTGGAATAACATTTTTTTATTTTGTTTGGTTTTTCAGCAGGGCTGTACAGTGGTGGAGTTGGTAGAGCTGTTGCCTTGCAGCAAGAAGGTTCTGGGTTCAATTCCCAGCCCTGGTCTTTCTGCATGGAGTTTGCATGTTCTCCCTGTGGATGTGTGGGTTTTCTCCGGGTACTCTGGTTTCCTCCCACAGTCCAAAAACATGTCAGGTTAATTGGCCTCTCCAAATTGCCCCTGTGTGTGTGTGTGCTTGGTTGTTTGTCTCTGTGTTGCCCTGTGACAGACTGGCAACCTGTCCAAGGTGTACCCCACCTCTCCCCCAGAACAATAGCTGGAGAGGCATCAGCACCTCCTGACCCCACCAAGGGACAAGGGTGTACAGAAAATGGATGGATGGTTTTTCAGCATTGTTTCTTTTTTTTATTTTTATTTTGTTTGTTATTTTTTTTGTTTGTCTTTTTTATATATTTGCATATGGAAATGTTAAAAATAACCAAAATAAATTAGAAAAACCCCAGATATACATCTTTGTAGAGGTGTTCCTACCTCTCAGCCAAAGCGGTGAGTGCAAGCAGAGCTCCCTGTAAAACGCTGCGGTCTGTGGTGGAGAGGAGTTTCACCAACGTCTGACCAATTTAAAAGCAGAAATTAAATTTCTGTTCTATATATCAGCTCATAGTACATTTCTGTGTGATTTCAGTGTTTCTTGTAGTTCAAGAAAGTTGGTCTGAGATTAATAGGAAATGCATAAGACTCTTTCTATTCTTCTTCTTTTTTAATTCAACAAATAATCAAACTCCTAGTTATAAAAATACATGCACTGGACAAAGGCCCTAAGAATATGAATTAAAATTACCCTGTGCGCGCCACTCTCAATGACCCACAGCCGTTGATTATCAGCGGTCGACAACTTCTGAAACATGTCTGTAACAGAGATCAAATCGGTGATTCTGCTGCTGATTGACACAAACCCAGTTCCACCTGCCAGTGTTTCTGTGGTTCTGCCTACTCACAGGTCATTGTAACGAGCTTCTGTGTATCAAACACCTCCTCACCACAGGATATGTACTTGGCAGTGACAGACTCCATGTACTGCAGAGGAACAGAAGGCCAATAAGAGCTGCGTGAGATATATTTGGATGAGAGGTTGTTTGAGGTTACAAATAAAACCTTGAAGTATTTACCTTGGCAAGCAGACTGATGCCTTCAAGCTGGTGAAGAATATTCTGCAAAAATACCAAAAAGTCATGGTTCTTTTACACAAAAGAGAAAAAAAAACAATTAAATTTGATTTTCTTTTTGGTTTGTGCCTGATAATTGGGATCCCTGATCAGCAGTCGAATGCAGATCAGAACTCTATTGACGGCTTCGGGTGTTGCGTGGTCGATCCATTCACTTTCAATAAATAATAATAGTTAATATAAACTGTGAAAAACTATGAAAATCTCAAGTATTTCCACAATAATTTACCTGCAGAGTCGATTCCTAACCAAAGATGTAAGAATGTCCAGGAACAGTTTACTCAACGGGTGACTGCTGAAACATCTTTGGTCTTTGTATATTATGCTGGAAAACAGAAAAAGCTTTTATGATCGGCACGACGAGAAAAAAAAACTTTTAGTTTGATTCTCTATAGAGAGAGAAATTTTGCTTTTAAACCTTGGAAGAGCTACAAATTATAAGTTAGTTTAAAGGGGACCTATTATGCAAAACTCACATTTTAAACATATTTATACTTCCATCTGGGTCTCTGCTGCTCCTAAAAACAGCCAAAACACTTAAAAAACCATCCAGTAGTTTTTTGGCAACAAGTTAATGTTTTTTGTTCCATGGAAAATGAGCCGTTTCAAAAACCTCCAGATTGTTAAGTCACATTTGACGGGCACTGTGCTGTTACCTAGCAACCCCAAATCCGTCACCCAGGGGAGCTTAAGCAAGTTGACCAGGTTGTTTTAACGCCATATGTGATGTACAATGGCTGCTGGAAAAGACAACAACTTGTAACATTCTTGTTGGTTGTGCAGGAGGCTCCAGTTTTGTTTTTTAAAGCTCTACTGGTTTATAATTGAGCACCTGTTTGCAGCCATTTTTAGGTGCAAATGTAAATGTTGAGTTGGGGACCGTGGCCAGCAGCAGCTCATTCTGAAAAGAGCAGAACTGGTCAGACTAAAAGAAAGAAAGCTAAGAAAGATTTTGTGCAAAAAATGTAATAAATATGTTTTGTATGGCCCATTGACCTATCCTAACCTGTTCAAGGAAGCAAAAGAGGTCACCTTTAACAACTCCGAAGGCTGTAGTCGACATTTACAATAAGATGTAGAGATTATTTTCACCTAAAACATAACTATTTTATATCAGGTTTTCTAAGAGGCTTCTTTATAATTTTTTTTATAAAGATTAAAACTTCTTTATGTATCTTTATAAAACTCTCAGCAGGCATAAGCTAAATGGTTTTATTTTCTAAAATGGGGTTTTCTGCATTCGTCTTCTAACTCACTTTTTATTTAAAGGGGCAGTATTGTGTATTTATAGGTGCATTTTTTGCTTGTTTATATTTTGTCTTGTACTTTTTTCCACTAAAACTTCCACCAATATAGAATACAGCACTATGAATTTAGTCACTGGTTTATGATTTAAGAACATTTGATTTTTAAATTCGGTGTTGCAGAGTAAATTTTAATTTTCCACTGTAGGAAACCTGAATTTTTCCAGTTGGGCCACTTCATTGTCAGGATAAGTTTCATTCCTGAGCCTGCTGGAGTGTTTTGGAGAATGTGAGGATCTGATGGCCCTGCTGTTGGCTGATTTACTGTGACTCGGTGTTGACACCTGAAACACAGAGAAACGATCACATTACAACGCAGGTCTGACAGGAGAAAAATGAGCTGCTATGTATATTATCAGAATGTCTGGACATGCTGCTTCAGTGTGGCGTATTGTGCTGCTCTTCACCTCTTGTCTGGAGCTGCTTTTGGCAAGCAGGGACTGGAGCCTCTTGAGATCATAAGATGCCCTAGAAAACATGCTTATCAGGTGATTTGCTCATATCAGATCAGGCAAATAAATTTATAAATTGCTAGAGGAGGAGATAACCAGTCTTACTTGCTTTGGGTTGCTGTAGATTTGAGAGGCAACTTTTGTTCTGGTCTCACTTTCTTAGCCAAGTTAGACATTTTCAGCATTTTACATTTTGTTTACCTATGAAGCAAGAGCTAAATTTAGCCAAACATTTTTTTTTTATCTAGCCTGTTTAGCCAGACACTTATCACTTCAACGGGGAAAAAACCCGAATGAAATTACTTTTAGTGTTAGCTGTTTGGCCAAAATAAAACCGGATACCGAAAAAGTCTTGTCAGATGAGCTAATAATTGTTAGGTTTCTTACCCTGTTTCCACCTCCGTAAAAACAGATAGTTATTTTTAAGAAATTAAATACAAATGAAATATTCCAGAGTTACAGGCAATATATTTTATGTTCACGAAACAGCTGACGTCCTAAACATTATCTCATGAGAAAAAGAAACGACAATTTTCTGCATTGTCTTCGTTGCCATGGGTACAACGACGCTTGCAGCTGCCTGTAGGCACTATAGCTATTTCGACGTTGTAAGGATCTAGATTTGAGCTGGTTTATTCATCTATTTAGAATAATGTTGATGTGAATAACCGTTATTAAAAGAAAACAGAAAAATACAGTTTAAACATACATTTTTAACATTACAGTCCTTTTCTAAATAAAACTGGTCCGTTTTGTGATGTTTCTTTTGACTTTAAAGGTTGTGGTGTGTGACTTATCGCGAGAGCCCACTTCCACTCAAAGGAACACGAAGATATCACGAGATCTACGATGTCTCCGCTCTACTGACATTCACGTAGATTTTACGTCAGTTTTTCCGTCGTAGCTGCCTTGAGTTCGAAGGTTCTTACGTGACTCACTGTGCGTAGCTCAAGCAAAAGTAGCGAGAAGGGGGAATGTCGGCTTGTGAATGATCGGTGTTTGAGGCGGCAGGGACCGTTAACGTTATGGGTGAGATTACCAATCTCCGCTGCGGTTACAGTTTAGCAGAAAGCCTAATTTTAAACTGTTCTGTTTGTTGTTTTACTTAGAATCGACTGCACTATTTGAACCTTTGCTGCCGTTTAGCTACGGCAGTTGTTGGAGCAACCAACGCCCAGTCCGCCTCCACTTGGATGGGTTGCTATGCTAGCAGGCTAACTGTTAGCTTATGTTCGCTGTGTAACCTAACGGGAGTGTCATTTCCTGTCGTTAGCTTTGTAGCGAAGTATTTTAGTAAACGCTTCTCCTCTGTTCTATGTGAGCTCTTTGAATAAGAAATCAACATTTAAATATTATAGTTACACATTTCTGCTTTTGGAAGCCCAACCTAAAAAAAGCAGCATTTTGATAACTAGCTTCCTTCAGTGTCACATTTTGGGTAAAACTGCTCGATGCGATGCTAAGTTTTGTGCCCTGAAGTTACGGGTAAATGACAGGAAACATTTACGAGCTGCTGTGGGTTTCTGCAAGATTAAATTCTCCCACTTTAGGTGCCTGGAGCCGCATTTTGTACTGAAATTCATTTTCAGGACTTGTGCGACCTTTGCTTTGATTAAGCTGACATGACTGGAGCATTTGCAGGCAGAGTCAGACCTGATGTCAGGTTAGACATAAGGAGGTTAGGGCTGCCATCTAATCTGGATTACAGTGGATCTAACACCTCAGAGTTCATGTTTTGACTTTAAAGTTGGTCGCCTTTGCGTTGCAAGTCTGTAAATTAGAGTCTTGCATCTGCTTTACTCGTTTATTCTCAAATTGAAGCCTAATATTTATTGTTCAGTAAAGACGAGGCCTCCTACATTTGCATGAAGATAGAGCTAAACTGATTCCTCCACCTGCCACCACTTCCTCTAATTAGACCTCTGTGATTCTACCGGAAAAGAAACACGGTTGTGATTTGAAATTGCTGTTCAAATTTAGGTTAATCATGAGCATGTTGGCTATAGGTTACCTGCTTTAGGAGCCCATTTCTTATCTCTCCCTCCTCCCACCCCTCACAAATAGGAACAGTGTGATGCTACTAAAACTGAGCTGCACATCCTGTAGACAAATCAGCATTATCACGTCCTAGAATCGCACTGGAGACGAGTGGGCTGGTGTTGGCAGGCAGAAGATGCTCTGGCATAAGAAGCAAAAATCCTCTCCTAGCCACAGGCTTAAAGAAAAGGCTGTAACAGTGCACAGCCTTTGCTTTATGGTGCTGCTGACATTAAAGGAGCAAGTGGAGTGGAACATATACAACTCTGGCCCAAGTGTCTGTGTCGCTACAGTTGCTTGGATCATGAATACCTTTGCCCCAGGCTCCGGGAGTTAGAAAACAGAACCAGAATCATTTGCTTGTCAGATGATCTGATATTGATTTTTTTATTTATTTTTTTTCTCTTGTGACCTCGGGGGAAACTGGACCGTTCAACATTTCACTGATCGGCACAATGCAGCTGTAAGTATAGAAATCATGGTTTATTCTTGACATCACTACTTTAAAGAGACAAATATCTAAAATGAATAGACAACAGTTGTTAAAATGTAAGGTATGATGCTCATGTGTTTTTGTCAAATATTATTTTTGGTAACTTAGATTTTGCGTAGAGGGATACTGTCACAATAAGCAATAAATCACTTAATCAACATGTGTCAAACTCGAGGCCTGCGGGCTAAATCCGGCCCACCATAACTATTTCTGTGGCCTCTACACTCTAGAGACTTCAAGATAACAGTTTTGTGCTAATATATTATTTTATTAGTTAAATCAAATACACTTTTATGTGTATAAATATTATTTATTTTTTTAGAAGTACTCATTGAGTGCAGATAAAGCTATGATATATTAATTATTAGTTATTTTTATTAATACATTCTGTCTCGACCTGTTCTTAAAGGACATTTAGCCCACAACGGAAATGAGTTTGACACTCCTGAATGAGCTTAATCATTTTAATTAGTATTATTTATTATTTTTACTCTTTTCCTGTTTCTACCAAAAACTGTATTATAACATTATTAAGTCTTCTGTCAGATGGCTAGCTTTGGTCTCAACTAGCCATTTTTGTTTACAGAGACTTTATAATTTGTTTATTTGTTTGTTTTATTTATTTTGGAAACTTAAAATGTCTTCCAGTTACAGTGTTAAATGTTCATTCAAATTTATAGGTCATGGATCTTTCAGAATGCATTATTATGCCATCATTACCATTTATTACTATTATTTACTTGAAAATTGGCTCAAAGCAACAATTTTATAATTTATTGCAATAACTTCTAGGACTATTTATCGTCCAGCAAAAATAGGTTATTGTTACAGGCCTAACAATATGGCTGTAACCTAGTAGGAGGAGCAAATCACACTATGAATATTGATCCCCGGTCATCCAGGACTAATAATAATCCTGTTTTACAGCAACAAAAGAACCTGGATGGATACGTTGGCTTTGCAAGCCTCCCCAATCAAGTGTACAGGAAGTCTGTGAAGAGGGGCTTCGAGTTCACCCTGATGGTTGTGGGTAAGGACACTCTGCTCGGCCTGCTCCTGTTTGTCGTTGAATCATCTCATTGTGTTCCTCATTGAAGGCATTTAAAGTCCTTCAGTGTGGTTTGTCTTTCAGAGAACGATACAGCTGTGCATGTCTGTGAGGCCATATTTATGTGCAGAGAACATAAGTAGTTTTAAATGCTGACTCGAACACGTTTTTTTGACATTGAACTTCTGCCCCGTTTCATCTGTGTCAGGTTCCTTTAAGACCGTCTTGCAGAAGCAAAACATTTGGTTTGGGTTGATCCATTTCTGCATGTGAGAAACGGACACTTCTTTTCCTTTTTTTTTCCTTCAATGCCTGGATGTGGCTGTTGACTCTGGGCCAAGATGTTCCTCAGCCGTATTTGGAGGGAAAACGTGTCCCAGGGTCACAACCATTTCCTGTGGTGGGACCAACATAGTTTGTGCTCAGCAGGCCGCTGAAGAACGCTGCATTTAGTTCACAGCAGTTTGAGTCTTTTATTTCTACAGCACCATAGACTGACTCTTAGCATTTTGCTTTCTTTTGAAGAGGCTTTAATCAAGATGGTTAGTTAGATGGTTGAATTGGCCAAATTACCATTGATTGGTTCTGATTGCAGATCAGGAGGTCGTATACTGAATTTAATTAATCAACATAAAGAACTGCCACCATTTTTAGCATTTACATTAATGCATTTTAACAAGGCTGCAATTAATGATTAGTAATGGATTATTCTACCAATTATTCTGATGATTAAACAAATTGCCACATTCTGCAGATTTATTTATGTAGCCAATTGAGTTTTTTATAAAATATTTAAAATGCGTAAAAATATACAAATCCATTCCTTTTTAAAGAAAGCATTTTCTTTTATAAACATTTTATTGCCTAAATTGCAAGAACATAGCCTTCCTTCAGTAAACGTTTGATCATTTGTACCAAAGGATGCATCTGCAGCTAAAAAAATCCTGACTTCAACACGTGAAAAGCTCAGTGCTTTCTACTTTGACGTAACATCAATACAGCATAGAGCTGATCTGTAGATTATTTTTGGATTAACCCATTAATAACCGGATGTAAAAAGTTCTTAAAAGGAGATTTTTTTTAAAAGTAAAATTTGACCAGGTGAAGTAAAAACTTCCACTTGGAGATTTACGGACAAAAGGGTTTTTATTGTCTTAAATGTACAGATTTTTTGCAGCGTTTTGGCTTAATTACCCTATTTAACGATTAATCGATAGCTAAATTAGTTGATGGTAATTTCAGTTTCATCACAATTAATCATTTCAACCTTACATTTTAAATCTAATATAAATAAAACAAAGCCTTAATTTATTTACTTTCTGTCTAATTCAAAATTATTACCTCTATCAAACAACCTGCTCTACATTTTTCTCCTTATTTTGTCCTTAGAATAAAATAAAAATATCTGAATTGATGCGTCAGGCTTCAAAGAAAACAGGAAATCAGTGTCGGCCTGGAAAAGCCAGATTGGTGCGTGTCTACCTGTGCTCTGTTTTTGACTACATCTTTGTTTTGAGAATAATGCCTGAGAAGATTATAAATGTCATGGCAACAAGGACAGTAGAAGGGGTCTTCTGGGCTTTCTGATACTTAAATGCATGCCATTGTTTTCACACACACACACACAGATACACACGCATGCAGTATTCAGCTGTTCCTGGCTCTGATTTGCCGCAGGCCCACATGTCCCTGCAGTTCCCACATGCGATGTGTCACTTGTGTGGTGCGAAAGGAGGAAGAGAGACTGGTTCTGCATCGCCATCAGTGACTGGCACATCTATCCATAGCTCAAAAAACACGTGACCAGCAACCTGTTCACACATTACCAAGCTGCTCTTTTCAGAGATCTATCGCCACTTCCTAATGCATTTACCAAGCTGATGTACCCAGTCCACACAGTCGGAGGTCTAGACAAACGCTGCAGATGAAGCGGAGCACGTTACCCTTTAACTGTAGCCGTGGGTGTAAATACTGCGTGGTTAAATATTGACTTCTGGCCATCAGCCACACCAGGCTGCGCCAGTGGTCATTTCCACTAATGATCCTTTTCACTGGGAGCTTGGAAACGGGGCACATAATGGTCAGCCGAGTTGAGAAAACACCGGGACCACACAGCCAGTCAGTGGCGCATAACAAGAGCCATTGTCTGCGTTGTTTTCCTTGCCCTTTAACTATTTAACCCAAATAGATTGAGATCTCTGGCTAAAGTCATTCCTAGAAAACCACATGACCGTGATTGTTTGAGGAAAGAGAGCAGTGAAGTTTTAGGGTAAAACTTTACTTGAGGGGCTGTGCATAAGACACAACACCCGTCATAAACATGAAGGAGTCTTCATGGCTGTTATGAAGTGTCATTTGGTAAATAATGACATTTTTAATGCAAAGTTGCCATTTTTAATGCACATTTAATGTGAGTTTTAATGCAACGTTGTTTTTAAAAGTGTAATTCTTTACCTAATAATAAGAAAGGTTGACACTTTTAATGGACTTTTAATGTAACCTTTCATGCTACATTGTTTTGAAAGCTTCATTATTTACTGAATTATGCAAAGTTGCCACTTTTAATGTAAGTTTTAATGCAAGTTTGCTTTAAAAGTATCATTATTTACTGAATAATGCTAAGTTGACACTTAATTCAAGCTTAAATCAACTTTGCTTTGAAAGTTTTATTTAGCAAGTAATACAAAGGTGACACTTTTAATACAAGTTTTAATGCAACTTTATCTTAAAAATGTAATTTTTTACTGAATGACTTCATGACAACAGCCATAAACATTTCTGAAGACTCCTTCATGTTGGTGACTGTCATGCAGTGTTACCCTTGTTAGCTTAGCGTCTCTGTTGGCATCTTCTGATTGCAGTTTTGTGTTTTTGTTTCCAGGCGAATCTGGCCTGGGGAAGTCGACTTTGATTAACTCGCTGTTCCTAACAGACCTGTATTCAGCAGAGTATCCTGGACCTTCACACAGAATCAAAAAGACTGTACAGGTATTTTTCTCTCTGTGTTTAAAATGAGTTAAACATGCCTGCTTCTGATGCTTTCTGACCCATAATATTGAGTACATTGGCACTCTATGTGTTGTATATTTTGTCATATGTAACATTTATTGATTATCTTTCGCAACCAACAGTGGAAAAGTAGTTCTACTTTTCCAATAGTAACAAAAACAAAACCATAACATAATTTCTCATCCATAATTCCCAAACATGCAGCAGACAAAGAAAACCACGAGTCGGCTTACCAGCAGAACAAGAAAAATTGGAGCATTTGTCTTAAAGAAACAGCTTGGGGAAGATTTACTGCTTCCCTTATTTTAATAATTTATCAAAAGCAGTGTAACATCCTGGTTAGAAATCACTTCTGTGCTCTCAGTTAATTTCTTCTTCTGCTCTTTTGAGTCAAAAAGAGCGTTGCCGTCTCCCCTCAGACAGAAATAAAACATCCATATCTCTGAGCGAAGCGCTCTGGTTCTGGTAAACCAAACATTGAGTGAATTTGAGTTGCATCTTTTCAACTGTGGAGTTTCTAAAAGATAAACATAATGCAAGTTGTTATAAAGTAGACAAGTTATAAAGGCTTGGCCAGCTGTTATAAAGTATTGCTGTTTTTTACCACTTTGAATTTTCAGACTCGGCTCTTTTCTGTTTTGCACTTTAAGCTGTTTTGAAAATAGAAATGTGATAATAGTTACAGTTCAAAACCATCGTAATTATAAATATTCTGAGATGAAAGCCATCAGATAACTGGTCTGTCATATTCAGCTCTACAGTGTATAAACGCATTGTTTTATGTATGCCTTTTGCAAAAGCAATAAATCAATTAATCTCATGATAAATTAGAGCAGACTCAATCATTTCATTTGCATTTAACAGATGTTTACGGAGTGTTTTTTGAAAAGCTTCCTGTTGGGATTCCCTGTTCAAACGGGTGGAATTGAACTCCACAGATCCTGCAGTGAGTGTTTTTGAGGCCATTTGTTAAATGCGGTCTTGGATTTTTGAGGCCTGCCGCCTGTGGAGCTCCCTCTGTCTGACTCATATCTGAAACGGTTGCTCTCTCTGCCTGTGTGTTTTGCTGGTTCCTCAAGGCAGTTAAGTACTGGCACTAAATGAGAAGGCAGGTTGCTGCTTGCTGCTAAATATTTTCTACTAGGTGTAATATTCAGTCTGTAATGATTTTGATTGTGTAGTTCGGTTGTTTTGGACAGATAATCTGGTGCAATGTCTCACCTTCAGCAGAGAACCTATTCAACAAGCTGATTTTGATGAAACAGATTAGTTTTACATCTAATGTAGGGATTTAATACACTGGATTTGATGACAATTTACAAGAAATTTTACCAATAACAAAAAAGAACAGCTGTATACTACGATTGAATTACATATGTATCATAATGATGCGTATTAATCTGGAAGAGGTTGCTAATTGTAGCCTCTTTCTGCAGTGAGCACCACTGATTAGTGGTTTTCTTATGGCTACAGCAGTTCAGACCCAATCCATTGAGGTTCCTGCCGTTGTTTTTCACTACATTTCTTCCTCAAACATGATTGCTCCCCACGATCCTTCCAGATTTTAATCATGCTTTTGACAGTTCTCATCCCAATTTCCCATAATCTGAAACAATCAATCAACCTGGTGTCATGTCAGATCCTGATCGATTGAAGGTTTGCTCTCATTAAAACAACTTTTCCTTTTGATATTTCTGTCCTTATTCTGCTAATATTATGACTAAAACAAAAAAATCTGATGGATTACTTCCACATCACAGTTAGCTGGAACTTTGCGTTCATCTATCATAGAAGCAGAAGCCCGGTTTACATCAGAATCTGTTGTGTTTTCCTGCGGCAGGTGGAGCAATCTAAAGTCTTAATAAAGGAAGGAGGCGTCCAGCTGCTGCTCACAATAGTTGACACCCCGGGGTTCGGAGATGCAGTTGACAACAGCAACTGGTGAGGATCGCCTCTTCTGCTCACACATTGTTTAGATGTTTATCACGCTTCAGCGACGTGACGCACAACTTCTCACCTTCAGCTGGCAGCCAATCATTGACCACATAGACAGCAAGTTTGAAGACTACCTGAACTCAGAATCACGGGTGAACAGACGACAGATGCCTGACAGCCGGATCCACTGCTGCCTTTATTTCATCGCCCCCTCTGGACACGGGTGAGTTTGGAGGAGGATTTCAGAATTATTATTATTCATGAGAACACATGAATAATTAATAATAAACACACAAATTTTGCATGTTTTTGTGCTTCCATTTGGGTCTGAGGAGCTTTTTTGGCATTTTTTGGTGTTTGGAAAATGAGTCGTTGCATAAACCTCCTGCTTGTTGAGGCATATTCGACAAGCCCAGCATTGTCACCAAGTGGGACTCCGTGACTTTTGGGCAGCTGGTTTTATGTATGCACTGTACAACGGCTACTGGAGAGAGCAAGTGTCTTGTTGTTGACTTGCCATTCAGAAACCATTTGCTGCTTTCCTGTTGGTTGTGCAGGAGGACCCACTTATGCTTTTCAAAGATGTAAGTTGTATAATTGTGCACCTGTTTGCAGCCATTTTTCTTTTGCTAGTGAAAATTCACATTTTGCACGCTTTTGTTCTTCCATTTGGGACTCAACTGCTTCTCCATTCACTTGAATAAACAACCAGCCGTTTTTTGGCAATAAATTAGTTTTGCAGTGTGTGGAAAATGAGGCGTTACCTAGCAACCCCAGCTAAGCCCAGCCCGTTACCTAGCAACTGCAGTGGAGAGCTGCCCTTACTCAACAACACAAGCGATCTCCAGCACATTTGGTCAGCTGTTAGGGTTGGTGCCCATCTGTTTGCAGCCATTTTCATGTGAGAGTGTAAACGCTGCATTGGGGGCGTGGCCAACTGCAGCTTATTTGGATTTAAAGTGACAGGGGCTCAAAATACGTAGAACTGATCAGACTGAAATCTCATTGTCATAGAATTATTTTATGCAAAACAATGTGATGAACATGGTTTGTATAGCCTCTAGGCCAGACCTAACCTGCTCAGGGAAGCGTACTAGGTCACCTTTTAAGATGTTAAAGTGCCAGATTTTTTATTTTAAGCCACAAAAATGAAAAGAAGTGGATAATTTAACTTTATTGCAAAAACTTAGAATCTTACCAAGTATTTTTGGTTTAGTTTCTGTTGCAAATATCTTAGCATACTTGAAATAAGACAAAACTAACCTACAAGTAACATTATAGTAAGCTATAGAGGCTTGTTTTAAGTCAATAATTCCTTAATATTGATGAAAGAGTAACTGTTCCAATGGCAGATTATTTAACTTACAACCAGACATTTTCCCCATGTTATAAGTTAATTTATCTGCCATTAGAACAAGCATTTTTCATCAGTATTAAGGAATTATTTACTTGAAACAAGCCTGTATAGTTTGCTAAAAGGTTACTTTTAAGTTAATTTGTCTTATTTCAAGTGTAATAAGATATTTTCCCTAGAAACTAGACACAAATACTTGGTAAGATTTTGTGTTTTTGCAGTGTGTCACCAGAAACATGTGGGTCAGGAAGGGAGTGAGAACTGTGTAGGAAATGACTAAAGAAATGGAGCAATGGAAGCTGGTCAGCTGTTTCCCAAAGCTCAGAAAATCAAGTTTGTTTGAGAAAGGAAAAGGGAGTTTGAAGGTTTGGTTGTGCTGGTAAAACGCCAAACAGATGATACAGATCGCCTTCATAAAGAAACAACAGGAATTTTAATTATGACGCTTCACAAGCCATTAGAGCATCTTTATCTTGATTTAATTTATTCTAATTGTTCTAAGTGCTTACTTCCTTCCTCTAATAAAGTGTCAGTGCTTTTTAAAAATACTTTTTACTGAGATTTCATGTATAAAATCTGCTGCATTCTCACGCCGTTTGTTTGACGACTGTGTCTTCCTTTACTGATGAGTGAGAAGACGCTGCTCTGTTTCCGTCCTTGTGTCGTCTCGGTCCTCCCAGTCTGTCTCTGCTCTCAGGGACATTTTGTTTGTACAAGGCTGCGCTCTGTACCCACACAAGCATTACTTTATTACTGGAGGATGGGCACCGTATGCCGTCTGGGAGCATCCCGTCCTCGCAGCAGCTGGCTGTTCTAGCAGCACCACACTGACCCACCCGCTGCAAAACAACGCCCCTGTTCCCCTTTTGGATAAGAAAATAAACATTTTAGTTCCTGAAATCCAACAACACAGCATTCCTCTAGTGAACACCTGATCATTTTTAGCAGCTAAAAGTAAATACTTCTAAAGGTTCTGCTTAACTTCAGTACAGCGTAGGTCTGATCTGTTGATTAGTTTTTGGATTAACTGAATAATTATATTTTTTACATAAGCAATAAATGAGTTAATCACATTATAAATTATAACACTCTATTTTTTCCATTTGCATGATTTATGTTTGTTTTTATTTTTCTTCCTACTAAAAACTGGATGACAAGTTTTCAGTTTGGTGTTTTAATTTCAGTTATCCTTTTTATCAGGATAATTTTGTTTTCATAGACTTGATAATGAATTTTTTTGTTGTTTCTTTTGTTTTATGTTTTTTTTTTTTTTTTTTTTTTTTTTTTTTTTTGGGGGGGGGGTTTTTAAAATTTCTTCCAGTTCCAGGTTAAAATTTTATTTTGAATTTAAAGTTTT